AGCTGCTACAATTAACTCAGCTGGATAAATTTTAGCCTTACTTCTTTCTACAGCAGCGATTCTGACAAATACTTATTGCTATGCACAAAACTGTATTTAACAATTACACCAGGTTTAGCTCAAACCTGTCAGCGGGGGTGCCTCAAAACCACCCATGCCCACTTTAGAGCACTTCAGAGGCTTTTCCTGATGGTGCAGGAAAAGCCTCCAAAGTGCTCTAAAGCGAGGGCAGGTGGTCGTACAGTGAAAAGGCCCCATTGGAACCATCGTTTTGCAATCACTATAGCGATCACAAAAAAAACCATCGTAAAGTGATTTCGTCATCAAGCGGGGTAACTGTCTAGAGAGGCACCACTGTAATCCGTTCCAGCAAAATCGCTGTAGAATGAAATTGTCATCAAGCAAAAGTAAAAAGCCCATTGAAATGCATTGAAAACCACTCAATGCATGCCAATGGGCGAAATACCTCAGTGTCCAGTGAAGATCCTCCATAGGGTGGCCATTTTCGGGTGCCTATAAAGCAAAAAATCCACCCTAAACACAGTGGGGAGCCATTTTGAACAGCGGGCGGCCATTTTGAAAACCTGACAATCAGCTGTTTTGATCGTCATAAAGCAAAAAATCAGTTCCCGAAGCAGGGAACTGATCATTGTCAAGCGGATTTTCCCTATTTAAACATTGTTTTGCGATCGCTGTTGCAGTCGTAACATTGTTTTGCGATCGCTGTTGCAATCGTAAAAATCTCATTGTTAAGTGATTTCGTCGTGGAGCGGGGTAATCGTTAAGCGGGGCACCACTGTACCTCTGCTGCCCAGTAGCTGCCATTCTCATCACTATTGGAACTAACTACTCTCTTCTACCAATGCAGCTGCTACCCTTGAAGAGGGTGGATGCATCTTTGTCTGGTGCCTCAGTTGTTACCATTCCACCTTGTGTGACCCTGCTAGGAATTCAGGCTCATAATGGAGTCTAGCCTCCTGATGACGTTGCTCTTAATTTTTCTGGCATACGCAAACCCCTTCAACACATTAAGGTATGCATCCAAGGAGGCAAGTTTGCAAATTAGCTTGCTTTGTTTTGTGATTGGTCATTGTGAAGTAAACACAGAATTCATTCACATACAGTATTGAATTGCTCTATCCCAAGACCCTGCCAGAATCTCACCCCTGAAACACTCATGTGATTTCAGCTTCTACTAATCCACTATCAGGGGACGTGGTGGTGCTGCGGGTTAAACCACAGAAGCCTCTGTGCTGCAAGGTCAGAAGACCAGCAGTCATAAGATCGAATCCACAGGACAGAGTGAGCTCCCGTCGCTTGTCCCAGCTCCTGCCAATCCAGCAGTTCAAAAGCATGTAAATGCGAGTAGATTAATAGGTACCACCATGGTGGGAAGGTAACGGCATTCCATGTCTAGTCGCGCTGGCCCCGTAACCATGGAAGATTGTCTTCAGACAAACACTGGCTCTATGTCTTGGAGATGGGGACGAGCACCGCGCCCTAGAGTCGGACACGACTGGACTAAATGTCAAGGGGAACCTTTACCTTTACCTAATCCACTATCAGTAATGTATAATTTGACCCTGAGTCTAACGATAAACCTTAGAGCCTTAGGTTTCCCCCTTATCCATCCAGCCTGATGATGATACAGTATTTCAGTAGTTTGTACACTTTTGTGGACTTACAGCTAGTTCTAATAAAGGCCTGTAGATCTTCATTTTGTTTCATAAGTACATGAACAAACCAAATATTTGGATTTTTTTAAATTTTTTAATCTTTAAGCCACCTCTTATACCAGATAATAATGGGATATATTGTTTCATAAGTACATGAACAAACCAAATACAGTATTTGGAATTTGTTTTATTTTTTAATCTTTAAGCCACAAGCCACCTCTTATACCAGATAATAATGGGATATATATTCAGAGGTTTCACTGTCCTTCCTGTAAACTTGGAGCTTTTTCTATGCTATTTAAAGTGCCTTTGTCCTCTCTCAGGCAATGAGGTTACTCTTTGCACAAGAACCAGCTGTCTCCATATATTTCATTTTAATGTAGGAGACTTTCAGTCAATGGTAACACAATGGCTACAGCAGCCCAACCTTCCTCCTCCTTTCTGTCCCTCTTGTAGTTCATGATTTACACTTGAAATTATGGTGTTTGAGTTCTCAAGTGATAACTAGTAAACACTTTTTAAGAGAGTTCTTAGCATATGAGAAGCTGGCAACATGCCAGGCAATGTAAAATTGAGACTGTGACAGAAACTCCATGGACGTGGCCAGTCTCAATAAATATTAGTGGTATGTGCATGCCAAACAGCCTCCACAGGTCCGGCGCTGGGCATTATTTGTGCCTCTGACAGAAGAGCATTTAGGGCTTAGAACTTTGTGCTCTAATATTGTACAATAGAACTTGAAAGCAGAAAAGAACAAAGCTTCTGAGGTCTGCAAATAATGGCCACAGAGGTACCAAGACAGAGCAGGACAGCTCAGAAGAGGGATGGTAACAAGGAGCACAACTTAGGAGCCAGGCTGGTGTAGCAGTAAGAAGGGGGTTTCCAGAGGTCAAGGGGCCACATCGCCAGCCCTCATGCCACCTACACACCACACTACCAAGAGTAAGACTCAATTTCAAAACAAGAGGCACCCCTTGTTTTAAAATGGAAACTCTCATGTTTCTACTATGCTGCCACACCTGGCCTTCCTTGTGGTGAGGGGGCTGGCGCACTACCATCATTGGCTTGTTTTATGGTGAGGGTCACACTCCATCTCCCATTCTGAGCGTCAGTGGCAGCATGGCCAACTCTGTGCTCACATGACTGCTTAACATTAAGCTAAAGGCAGACTAGGCGTTATCTGTGCTTTGCCACACAAATGCAGTGCAGCAGGCAGAGTTGCCTTCACCATCTGCCTTTGGTGCCGAATCTGTTTAGAATTCCTCTCCCTCCATCCCTTTATAGGGCTTGGGAGTTTCAACAATTGTCTGAAATCTGGTTCTAAGCATGTTTCAGGAATTGGGGAAGAAGGTATATAGGAGAAAGCAAGGGGATGAAAAGTCCTTAGGAAAAGGGATACAAATTGACTTGTCTATCTGCTTTTTGCGTAAAGATAGTCCCCTGGAATTCTAGGATCTATAGTCTTGTGGGGAGGGGGGGAGTCTTTTTCAAGGTCTACATGCATATGCCACTCCTTAACATTGTTCAATATTAGATGATTAGCACAGTCTGCAAATGGGATCATAAGACAGAGCTCTGAAATATTAGTGTTTGGACTACAAAACCCAGAAGGCTCACTACAAAACACAAAATTCAGTCCCGGTGTGGCTCAGATATTTGGGAGGTATAATCTAAATAGTAATAATCATGACATTTCCAAGCTGGGAGGTAAACCATTCCATGAACATCTTCCATATTATGGAAACCCTGACAGGGTTAGAAGCAAACTGACAACATATATGTAACAATAACGAACTTTCACATAGAATTGTAGCTTTAAAACGGAAGAGACCGCTTTGCTCTAGAGAAGCATTTCAAGCAGGTCAACAGCCGCTGCCGCGACAACATCCCTGCCGCATAAGCCAGGCAAAAAGCAAAGTGAGGCATCATCAGAAGGACCTGACTGGTTTCTATCAGCTGTCAAGCTTGTGGGGTGAAAAGGTGATGTGGAGTTTGTTCACCTTATAAGGGAAGGAGGAGACAAGAAGCCTTATTTAAAACAACTACTGTACAGTTTAAACCTTCTCTGCTGCAGACGTGGCCAGAAGTGGGAGTGGGGTGAATGTTCTTCCAAGAGGCCATGAATTGCAATGGTAGTTGTTAAGAGCACATGGCTGGAAGTAAATTCCAGTCTTTGGGGACTTACTTTAGAGTAAACCTGCACAGGAATGGGCTGCAAGTTTGTAATTCAATTTTCATGTCCCTGTGAATAGCAACCACACAGTTGTTATAGGGATCAGTCAGTGGATGGGTGGATGGA